AGTGATTAAAATTTCATTAACCGGAAAATTATATTAGCAATAAAGAATTGTGTATAATATGACCCGACCACCAATCAAATAACATGGACAGATCATGTTACATACAGATGGTGGCCTAAATGATCCGGCCACTTTTCAAAATTAAAAAATTTTTATATGTTTTATAAAATGAAAATAAAAATTTAACATGTTCATTAAACATTCCTTTATTGAATTTTACAAAAATTTAATAATTAATTCTATATCCATTCGCGAAAATAACAGCATTGACCCTCTGAGGCATACTATCAATTAATTTTTGATAATATTCAGGAGGGAGATCATCCATGCAACCTTGACGTATACTTAACATTATCATCATATCTAATATTTTATTAAAATCAATACAAACTATTATATTTATATTTATCTTTATATTATTACCATTTAACATGTTACAGGATTAATTCATTTTGATCATTAAATATAATATTTCTTTAATAAAACTAATAAACTCAAAATAAACCATAAAATTTATTATTTGATAAATATACAAAATACAAATCAACTTTTTAATATAAACCCTATTATATTACTTAAAATATATATAAATAATTACTGAATAATGCAATAATTATATTATAACTCACTAACAATACCAAATTACCCTAGTTTTCGTAATAAAAATTTTCTTTCGTAAAAATTTTGGTCCGAAAGATCGTCAAAAAGAGTTTTTTCTTTCAATTACCTCTTGGGTAATATTATGCAAGTTTATTCTTCATATTGTTCAATATTACAAGCTTTATTATTAACTCACATCCATTTTTATAGTTCTGCATCTTACACTTTCCAAGAAGAAATTGGAATTGCTTTAGTGGAAGATAAAAGTGGCTTTGCAGGCATTATAGAAATAGTCAAACTCCATGGAAATGATGGGCAAGATTATATTTTTACATATTGCTTGTTTGAAGATGTATCAAGGCGAGATGAATTACTTTCATGCCCAATATACCAATTACAAATAGATACTAATGATTCTTGGTAATAAATTTATAATACATCTATAGACTAGTGTCCACCGCAGACCATCATAAAACTTCAAAATTTGAATATGTCCGTAATTTTATTTTTGGCAATATAATAATAATTGTTGGTAAAATATAATAGTATAGTAATCGTAGTTTGTATTGATATTTATTAATATTTTAGTGGAATAAATGTAATATTAAATTAGATATATTGTTATTAAAAAATACCTTCATATGTCTTTTATAATCACATTTGTAATAACAATAAATGTCATATACTAGCCCAATATTATTATTACAAAAAGCCTGAAATTAGACTATTCCGATCACAATTTTCTTACTAGCACTATTAACGAGCTTGATGATAGGCATGATTTATTATTACTAGCACATGACAATACTTTTATTAGCCTTATATTAAATCTGTAGTTTTTTGTTAAGAAGTTAGTAATAGGGAACGGAAATTAAATGTAATAAATAAACAAAAACAAAAAAATAAAAAGCATACCTTAGTAGTTGCAAAGAAGAACCAAAAGACCTAAAAAGAACGAAATACACAATGTAAGAAACAAAATATTAAGAATGGAATAATAAAATAACTGATAAGAAGAATGGCCATATAGTGCTAATCATATCTTAATTGCAAAATCGAAAGAGCTAAAGGACCTAAAAAAATGAAATAAAGCTAGTAGGAAACAAGAAGCAAAAATGAAAAAAAAAGAAAGAAAACGTACCTTGAGTGTCGTGCAAAAGAGTGAAAGGACGAGTACGTTTAAAAAAAATAATCAAACATAATTAGTAGCCAATAAAATTTAATAGGGTGCTCATGTACAAATTTAATAATGAGGTGATATCACTGGATAAATTACATAGGTTAAATCACCATAGGTGAAAAATTGTAAATATGATATCATTCTAATATTATAAATATAATTTAGTACATATTATTTTATTATTGTTTAACTAATTATTAATTCCTAATTATAAACAAAAAACTACTGTAACCATTTAATCTACTTAGTATTACATTACAATACTAAATTTTTCTATTTAAAAAAACTCATTGGTCCCAGTGCGAAGCCACGGGTAACAAATTTAAGGATTTAAGGCAATTATAATTTTGACCAGAATTAAGTGGTAGTGATGATCATCCTTACTTACAACGTTAGTGTCATTACACATGAATTGTGCGACAATATCGGAATTATCACTCCGAAATCGATATACTATAATTTACCCAGTTTGACATAATAATAAAATTTTGATACTTTATCTTTTCATTTTCATTAACAATGTCATGTTCAAAAATATTTTCAGGAGATTTACCAGAATTAATATATGAAATTATAAAATATTTCCAAAATGATTATTCAACTTTATATTCATGCATTTTAGTTAACAAATTATGGTGTCGTTTAGCGATTCCATTATTATGGGAAGATCCTTTTTCAATTCCTACAAAAAATTATAACTTTATTAAAATATACTTACATAATTTAAATGATGATGATTTTAACACAAAATTAGATGAATATAAAATTGTTAATAATTCATTACCTTCGAATATACTGTTCAATTATCCCAGATTTTTAAAATATTTGAATATATATGAATTTATTTATTTAGTTGAGAAGTGGTTTAAATCTGCTACTGGTATACGTAAACAACTAGCAACGACTGATTTTGAAAAATTGAGATTTATATGTGTATCAATATTTAGAATTATTATTATTGAAAATGAAGTAAATTTACATACTCTTGAAATTGAAAAATCTGGTTTTGATTATTATCTTGCATGTATTGGTAATATTCTTGAGTTAATTTTAAAAAATCCAAATTTCATTCATCATATTAGAAATTTAAACCTTTATTTTGGTAATTCTTATGTTGGCAGTAGTAAATATACGTTAATGAATAATCGTATATCACAAATAATTAAATTACACCAAAATCTAAAAAAAATTATGTTAGACTACTATGATTGCATTCCTTTGTATCAGTCATTACTAACAGAATATTATAATTGTTCAAATACTTTAAATACAATCATTTTCCATTATGTTAACCTAAATTGTATTAGAAATCTACAAAAAGTATTTGAACAATTAAATGTTTTGGAATCTGTTCATATTTATTATTGTTATAGTTTAAATACTAGTTTTATTCAACAAATTATTAATTTAACTAAACCATTTAAGTTGAAATCTTTATTTATGAATGATATATCACAAGTTGAATCATTAGAATTATTATTACAAAAATCTGGTGATTATTTAGAAAATTTTGGCTATATTCTTGAAGTTAATTTTAAATTATCATCAAAACAACAATTATTAGAATTAATTACAAAATATTGTAAAAATATCAAATTTCTTGATTTTCATTATGGATGTGAAAGGCAGATTATTTATCAATTACTCAATTTAATTGAAAATATTAAACTAAGTATTAATTATCTTTCATTTGATGTATGGTATGATTATACTGAAACTGGCGGATATAGTTCAATCATATTACAGGATTTAGGACAAATTCTCCCTTCTAAATTAGAATATTTATGTTTGAATATTTATCACATTAAAACAAATGATTTTGAATTATTTCTAAAAAATATTCAAGATACTTTTATTAAAAAGTTGGTGATAGAAAATTTCCAATTTCTAGTTAATATTTTGCCCTCTATAAAAGAATATATCATGAAAAAGAAAAGGGTTAAGTATTTGGCTATTAAGAATTCTACATTAGTTAAGGAATTGATTTCACTTAAGGATGTAGTAGATGAATTTAAGTTATATAATATTAAAGTTCAAAGTTATGATGATTTAAAGATTAACTTGCGTAATTATATAAAGAAAATTGATTAATTGTTTGGTAGTTAATAGGGATATTCTTTTATATACCGTAAAATTATTATAAATTTAATTATCCTAAATAAAATCATTTATTTATTATTGTGGTTATCAAGAAACTTTTATTATTTTCATTAAGTGAATTCTTTGTCCTAAATTTAGTATTTGAGATGTAAACATTTATGCATATTATACTTAATGAATATGTGTCATTAAATTTCTTTGTTTGTGATTTACCATATAAGTATTTTAATATTCTGTTAAAGACATATAGGGTTGGATTAGTCCGGTCTGGTCCCAAAAAGACTGCTCTTTCAACCTGGACTGGACTGAACTGGGACTGGACCGATTTAAATTTAAGAAATTTGTTCCATGATTTTAAGGCCTTTAAATTGCGCAATGTTTTTATTAAAACATTTAAAGAACGTTGCAAAACATTTTTTAATATGTAATTTAACAAATAAAAAACGTTTTGCAACATTTTTAATTGTTTTAACAAAAAATGATACAAAAACGTTTTTTATTAAGCAATTTAATAAAAAAAGTTTTCGCACGTTTTTAATTATTTTAATAACAGACAACATTAAAAACTGAACCGATAATGAATCGGTAAATCAGTTCGGCAGTTTTCGGTACCGGTCGGTTTCGGTACTGAACCGAACCTTAGAAATAGATGAGCACAAAAATTTGCTCATTTGTATTGGATATTAATAATATGGATCAGTCTGACCAGTCTTTGCTAGGACCGATCCAACCCTATACACATACCAAATAACAGGTTAAAAGTCAAATTGAATTCATTCAATAAGGTATTATTAAAGAATTAAGAATTTTAACTAGAAGTTTTATAGAGAAATTAGTCTTCTCGTAAGGATTAATATATAGTTTGAAAATTACTAAACTTCATTTAGTTTCTAATTCGTTTAATAATATAAAAGAGTATTAAAGTTCAAGATTTTTAATTAAAAATAGATTTAATCTATAAGTAGGCCAAGATTTTCTTAAAAGGTTATAGCTAAACTTTTAAATTTTATAGGTACAATAATTATAATTTTTTAATAAAAAAATTAATAATGTTTCCAAAACTTTGATAAATTTATTATATAAATTGAAATTCAAGGATTTAAGGCAATTATAATTTTGACCAGAATTAAGTGGTTGTGATGATCATCCTTACACAACTCTAGTGATGTTACACACATTAATTGTGCGACAATATCGGAATTATCACTCCGAAATCGATATAATTTACCCAGTTTGGCATAATAATAAAATTTTGAATACCTTCTCTTTTCACTTTCATTTACAATGTCATGTTCAAAAATATTTACTGGAGATTTGCCTGAATTAATATATGAAATTATAAAATATTTCCAAAATGATTATTCAACTTTGTATTCATGTATTTTAGTTAACAAATTATGGTGTCGTTTAGCGATTCCATTATTATGGGAGGATCCATTTTCAATTCCTACAAAAAATTATAATTTTATTGAAATTTACTTACTTAATTTAAATGATGATTTTAGAACAAAATTAAATGAATATAAAATTATCAATAATCCATTACCTTCGAATATACTGTTTAATTATCTCAGATTTTTAAAATATTTGAATATATACAAATTTATTTCCTCTATTGAGAAGCAGTTTAAATCTGCTATTACTATTAATATGAATAGAATGCAAGTAATTGATATTGGAAAATTGAGTGATATAAGTTTATCACTATTTAGAATTTTTATTGAAAATGAAATAACTTTACATACTCTTGAAATTGAAATCCTTGGTAATACTTATCATCGCACATGTATTGAAAACATTCTTGAGTTAATCTTAAAAAATACAAATTTCATTCATAATATTAGAAATTTGAACCTTTATTTTGTTTGTAGTAGTATGTATACGTTAATAAATAATCGTATATCACAAATAATTAATTTACACCAAAATCTAAAAAAAATTATGTTAGGCAATGATAACGGTCCTTTGTATCAATCATTATTATCAGAAGATTGTAATTGTTCAAATACTTTAAATACAATCATTTTCCATTACGTTAACTTAAATTGTATTAGCAATCTACAAAAAGTATTTGAACAATTAAATGTTTTGGAATCTGTTCATATTTATTATTGTTATGGTTTGAATACTAATTTTACTCAACAAATTATTAATTTAACTAAACCATTTAAGTTGAAATCTTTATTTATATGTGATATTCCACATGTTGAATCATTAGAATTATTATTACACAAATCTGGTAATTATTTAGAAAATTTTGGCTATATTCTTGAAGTTAATTTTATATTATCATTAAAACATCAATTATTAGAATTACTTACAAAATATTGTAAAAATATCAAATTTCTTGATTTTCATTATGAAAGGCAGATTAATTATCAATTACTCAATTTAATTGAAAATATTAAACAAAGTATTAATTATCTTTCGATTGATATATGGTATGATTATATTAAAACCGGCGGATATAGTTCAATCATATTACAAAATTTAGGACAAACACTCCCTTCTAAATTAGAGTATTTATCTTTGAATATTTATCAAATTAAAACAAGTGATTTTGAATTATTTCTAAATAATATTCAAGATACTTTTATTAAGAAGTTGGTGATCAAAAATTTCCAAAGTCAAGTTGATATTTTGCCCTTTATAAAAGAATATATCATGAAAAAGAAAAGGGTTAAGTATTTAGCTATTAAGGGATCTTCATTAGTTAATAAGGAATTGATTTCACATAAGGATGTAGTGGATGAATTTAAGTTATATAATATTAAAGTTCAAAGTTATGATGATTTAAAGATTAACTTGTATAATTATATAAAGTAATTGATTAATTGTTTGGTAGTTAATAGGTATATTCTTTATTAAATAAAGTAAAGTTGCTTATAAATTTACTTATTATAAATAAAGTCATTTATTATTGTGGTTATCAAGAACCTTTTATTATTTTTATTAAGTGAATTCTTTATCCTAAATTTGATATTTGAGATATAATGATTTATGCATATTATACTTATTAAATATGTGTCATTATATTTTTTTGTGATTTACCATATAAGTATTTTAATATTCTGTTAAAGAATCTTCGTACACGTACTAAATAGCATTAAATTGAGTTCATTCAATAAGGTATTATTAAAGTATTAAGAATTTTAACTAGAAGTTTGTTTTAGGAAATTAATCTTCTAGTAAGGATTAATATATAATTTGTAACTTTATTTAGTTTCTAATTCGTTTAATAATAAAGAGTATTAAAGTTCAAGATTTTTAATTGAAAATGGATTTAATCAATACGATAATTACCATAATATTATAAGTAGACCAAGATTTTCTTAAAAGGTTATGGCTAAAGTTTGATACAATAATTATAATATTTTTTAATAAAAAAATTAATAATACTGTATTTTCCAAAAATTTGGTAAATTTATTATATAAATTAAAATTTAAGGATTTAAGGCACTTTGCTAACAACCTAAAATTTTCTTAATACAATGTGAAATTAATATTACAATAATATCACAATACATTGTATGCAAACCATCAAAAGGTACTCGTTATTGGTCTTGTAGGGGCATCGTACAATATCCAGTATAATATTAATTGTAATATTAATTTATTAACATATATATTTAATATAAAATGTAACAAATTATTGTAAAATTTATTGTAAAATTTATTTATAAAATACATTATCTAATATAAAAGCTAATCCTGTATACGTCGACTTCAAAAGATGATCTTTCATGATCAACAATCACCTGATTAATCTAACGTTCTCTGAACCGTTGTCTCCGCAGATAAATTATTGTGGATATTAATCTTATTCTTAGTAATAAACTCACTCCCATATAGATGTAATTCCCCTGGCTTCTCCTATTTCTCAATGAGATATGCTTCCAATCTTATTATCAGTTTTGTTTATCAGAAGATCTATTTAATCCTCCTCTATCCTCATTTCTTCGTGCAGTTACTTTGCATTCCTTTATAAGCGTTCATTTCTCTTTCACCATTCTTCATCTTTTTGATTTAATTACCAATACTATTAGAGAAATACAAAAAAAAACTCTCCAAAATCTGTGTAAAGAATATAGAAGCCGCTGTCTAAGAAAAAAATAACGAAGTGTGAGTAACTGTTCGTTACTAGTACAAACAAATTAAAGAAAAAAATACCAAGATTTGAAAACCAATACGTCTAAAGAAATCCAAAGTTCTACGTGTCCAAACTCCAAAGACTTACTAAGTCTAAAAAATAGAGACAAATGGTTAGTAAGACTTTTAAAAAATAAAATTAAAAAAATCATTTCTTTGATACATATGAAATACAGTTCTCCACGAATCCTACAAAAAAGAAAATAGAAGAATTTACGTAAACAAAAAGTTTCTTCTTTTAAAAAAAATCAAAAGGATTGAAATTTCATAACGAAACTTTGTCTTTTCCGATGTTATCCTATCCTATCGTAGCTGAGTTGAAGCTGAAATTTCTATAAAAAAAGAAAAACATTAGAATTTTTTTAAAGGTTCAAAAAATTTTTCCAAAGGTTATCACCTTATGGCAGCAATTTACTCACATGTAAATAATTTATCTTAATATCACCAAACACATCTTTGTCATATATCAATAAATATTATTTTTCTACAAAGAATAATGTTAAAACTGTTTTTCTTAGTTTCAAAATTTTTTTTTTTCAAAATTTACCTGAAAAAAGATGTTAAAAAAAAAATTTTTTAATGTTGGCTTTCAAGATTATTCAAAAAATCGTAGACTTAGCGTTAGAGTTAAATTTTATTTTTTTAACAAAACGTTTTACTAACGTTTCTATTCTTATTTTAATTTATTTTCTAGATGGCTAGGTCTTATGGACGTGTAGAATTTCAGCATGGGAAATTTAAAAAATTTTTTTTTGATTTTAATTTTTAATGAAATATTCACTAATGTTTTGACTTTAAACTTCTTTTTGGGTAACTGGCGCATAATTTCAGTAGAAAATCTGAATTTTTTTTTTTAAAATTTAATTTTAAATAAAACATTTTTACTAATGTTTTGATTTAATCTTTTTTTTAGACGACCAGGTTCTTTTGGCGTATAGAATTTCGGTAGAGAATTTCAAAAATATATTTTCTTAGCGATTACGGTAAGAGAGATTATAGACAATCTTTTTTTTTTGAATTATTACTTATAACAATGAAACTTTTATTAACGATTTCTTTTTTATTATTTTTTAGACGATCTTCTGAAGCGTGAATTTTGGTAAGGAAAGGTTTTTTTCCTCTTTATTAATTTAGCGAAATGTTTTACTAAGTTTCGACTCCTCTTTTTTTAGGGCAAGTTCCGATTTTAATGCAACAGGATAATAGGTAAGTTTTTGAAAATATTTTTCAAAAACTTTATTTTTTTAATAAACCCTACTAACAATTTGTTTTTTTATTTTGTAGGTGGCCATTTAACAAAACGTTTCGATGATTTTCTTTTGTAGACGGACGTCTGGATGTATGAAAAGTGCGGTAGGAAGTCTTTTAATTTATTTATTATCTTTAACGAAATGTTTGTTATTTTCTTTTAGATGACTAAGACCTTGGACATGTAAACTTTGGTAACGGATCCAGAAAAAATTTTTATTTAAATTTATTTTTTCTATCGAAGCATTTTACTAATGTTTCGATTTACTCTCTTTTTTTAAATGATTAGAATGTAGATTTTCAGTTTCTGGATACACAGGTATTAGGTAAGGGTTTATTTATTGTTTTTTTTTTATTTTATTCCAACAAATTATTACTAAATGTTTATTATTTTTTCTTTTTTAGGTGGTAAAGAATTGGTTATGCGAAAATATTATCTGTTATAAATAACGAAAATATTTATAATCTCAAATTTATACTTCGTACTCAAGAACCTCTCGTAAATGATGAAGAGTTTGTGAGCAAAGAAGAATTAGCAACGGCGCGTCTCTATTTTAAACAGCCTGGACACGTCAGTCCGACTCAGGACTCGGCAAGTTTTTTTTATACAGGAATCAGGAAGTTTTTATTTAACGGAACTTTTACTAATAAAGTTTCATTTTTTTCCTTTTTTTTAGATGGTAGAACTTCAGGCCTTGAAGTGTGTAAACAATTGTTTTGGTAATTATATAAACTTATAATTATTTTGAGAAAAGTCAACATTATCTTAAATTAAAGTTTTCGTTGAAAATTCTCAGATACGGTAACGAATTCAGTAAGGGAGATAACTCTGTTTATACAAGCAAGTTTTGAAATTATTTTGATCCTCTTTTTTAAAAAAAAACGTCAAAATTTTTTTTATTATATTATTTGTAGGTTCTGACTTCTGATTATTCGATCTTGCAAGCTTTGAAAAAGCCGTGGGAAGAAACAAGAGAAAAGGACAAGAAAAGAGAACCAATAACTAGTTAGAAACTGAGGGAAAGGGCAGAGAAGAATGAGGAAAGGGAGCGAGAGAAAGGGAATGAGCAAGGGAATAAGGGAAAGGGGAAAAAGGAAAAAGAAAAAGAAGGAATGGAAGAAAATTTTAAAAAAAAAGTTTAAAAAAGTATTTAGCCGATCTAAACTTCAGCTGCGGCTAAAGCTGCGGCAGTAATCATTAATTAATTAATATAGATGGGTGCTTTCCCTGAAATTAAAAAAAAATTTTTTTAATTATTATAGTTGTATTTGTACGTATTGTACATACAACATCTGTTTAATATTATGAAAAACTTTTCTGTAAACAGTAGAGACCCATTAGTGCCAAAAAGAGGAGTCTTCAGTAATAAGGCATAAAATTATTATTAATTGCAAAATTCATTGTTACAATATATTTATAAATAATTAATTAATTGTATAATATATACTTAACAAAATTTTGTAAAAAATTTCAAGACTCGTTGGAAAATGTACAAGAATTATATATTTTACACAATTGATTACAAATAAATTAATAATATATAATAAATTGTCAGAAACATTGTACTATATATTTTAAATATAAAATATCTTGCACAAGATTTTGTACAAGCATTGTACAATGAATTAAGGAAATTTTGGGTTGTTAGCAAAGCAATTATAATTTTGCCCAGAATTAAGTGGTAGTGATGATCATTCTTACACCTAATTTTTACAACGTTAGTGACATTACACACATTAATTGTGCTTATCACTCCGAAATCGATACCCAGTTTGTCATAATAAAATTTTAATACTTTCTCTTTTTACTTTCATTTACAATGTCATGTTCAAAAATATTTTCAGGAGATTTACCAGAATTAATATATGAAATTATAAAATATTTCCAAAATGATTATTCAACTTTATATTCATGCATTTTAGTTAACAAATTATGGTGTCGTTTAGCGATTCCATTATTATGGGAAGATCCTTTTTCAATTCCTACAAAAAATTATAATTTTATTGAAATTTACTTACATAATTTAAATGACGATTTTAGAGCAAAAGTAAATAAATATAAAATTATTAATAATTCATTACCTTCGAATATACTGTTTAATTATCCCAGTTTTTTAAAATATTTGAATATATACAAATTTATTTTCTCTATTGAGAAGTGGTTTAAATCTAAAAATAGACGAGTAACTGATTTTGAAAATTTGAGTGATATAAGTGTATCACTATTTAGCATTTTTATTGAAAATGAAATAAATTTACATACTCTTGAAATTGAAATCCTTGGTAGTATTTATCATTGCACATGTATTGATAACATTCTTGGGTTAATTTTAAAAAATCCAAATTTCATTCATAATATTAGAAATTTAAACCTTTATTTTGGTAATTCTTATGTTGGCGGTAGTAAATATACGTTAATGAAAAATCGTATATCACAAATAATTAATTTACATCAAAATCTAAAAAAAATTATGTTAGGCTATGATAGCATTCCTTTGTATCAATCATTATTATCAGAAGATTTTAATTGTTCAAATACTTTAAATACAATCATTTTCTATTATGTTAGCCTAAATTGTATTAGCAATCTACAAAAAGTATTTGAACGATTAAATGTTTTGGAATCTGTTCATATTCATTATTGTCGTGGTTTAAATACAAGTTTTACCCAACAAATTATTAATTTAACTAAACCATTTAAGTTGAAATCTTTATTTATATGTGATATTCCACATGTTGAATCATTAGAATTATTATTACACAAATCTGGTGATTATTTAGAAAATTTTGGATATATTCTTGAAGTTAATTATGAATTATCATTAATACAACAATTATTCGAATTAATTACAAAATATTGTAAAAATATCAAATTTCTTGATTTTCATTATGGATGTGGAAGACAGATGAATTATCAATTACTCAATTTAATTGAAAATATTAAACAAAATATTAATTATCTTTCGATTGATGTATCAAATGATTATATTGGAACTAACGAATATGGTTCAATCATATTACAAAATTTAGGACAAATTCTTCCTTCTAAATTAGAATATATATGTTTGAATATTTATCACATTAAAACAAGTGATTTTGAAGTATTTCTAAAAAACATTCAAGATACTTTTATCAAGAAGTTGTTGTTCGAAAATTTCCAAAGCCAAGTTGATATTTTACCCTTTATAAAAGAATATATCATGAAAAAGAAAAGGATTAAGTATTTGGCTATTAAGGAATCTTCATTAGTTAAGGATTTGATTTCACTTAAGGGTGAAGTGGATGAATTTAAGTTATATAATATTAAAGTTCAAAGTTATTATGATTTAAAGATTAACTTGTATAATTATATAAAGACAATTAATTAATTGTTTGGTAGTTAGTTAATAGGTATATTTTTTTATATAAAGTAAAGTTGCTTATAAATTTACTTATTTTAAATAAAGTCATTTATTTATTATTGTGGTTATCAAGAAACTTTTATTATTTTTATTAAGTGAATATTCTTTATCCTAAATTTGATATTTGAGATGTAATAATTTTATGCATATTATGATACTCATCGAATATGTGTCATTATACTTTGTTTGTGATTTACTTGCTGTTTATTTCTGTCTTTATAAATAAAAATTATTAATAGTAATAAGACGAATTTTTTTGAAATCTAAGGAAATGGAAACCGTTGCAAACCCAAAGCAAAAAATAAAATAAAACTAAAATTTGCCAATTCCCTTCGCTTCATAATTTAATAAATGGCTTTGTTGATTATTATAATAGTGATATTTATTACATTTAAAATATGTACTTGATAATTAATTTCAGAATAAAATTTGGGATGTACTTTTACCACATTAAAAAAAGTTGTCTTTTTTTGTATTCATTATAAAATTTGATAGAAAGCCAAGGATAGCTTAAAATGGAGAAAAATGATAATGAATAATATGCTTACTGCTAAAAAAATATTATATTATGAAAAGTATTATGACAATGAATATTTTACTAAAGAAAAATTTTTTCTATGAAAAAACTGGATTTTTTATTATAACTTAAATCAATGAATCAAAGAAAATGCTTAAATAATACTAGTATATTATTTTAATTACCTAATTTAATATCCGCTTAAATTGATAAAATTTTCTACCACTTTATCATTTTCAAACAATTTTGTCTGCTTTCCTTAAGAAAATTTGCTACTTGATGCTAAGAATAATAATATCAAAAATTGATGGGAATCTTCCCTTATGATCGTTAACAAACAAAATTTTTACATATGTTAAAATTGGAAAAAGGATATACCGAAACCAAATCTTGTAAAAATATTTATTTTCTAACTTTGAAATTTTAAAACATTCCAAAACAATTCTCCATGTATTCAAATATCTAGGATAATTAAAAAAGCGTATTTGAATGAAATAAAGTTTATATTCATTTAATTTTGCTTTGAAATCAACATTTAAATTATGTAGTAAGTATTAAAATTTCTAATTTTTTTAATTTTTTTGTAATAATTGAGAAGGGAATCTTACTGTAATATTTCACTGGACAATGTAGCATTTCGTCAAACCATTGGGCAAAATGGAACTTTAGGTATGCGAAATAAGTTGATGCATTATCTATTGTTACAATTAATTTTAAGGTATTAGCATCGTAACTACATATAATGTTAATTTATTATTTTTTTTTATTTTAATACTTTACATAAATTTATGAAGTATCATATTTAAAGAATCTAATTTTCTAATAAAGAAAAATATAATTATAATAAACCGAAAATTTTCTGTTTTCTAATATAAAAAAACAAATTTTTTTTTGCGGTTTACTTATTAAATCAATCCTTTACGTTTTACTCAAAACTATCTTCCACCATAAGTTATATTTTTAATAAACTTTTAAAATTTGTATAATTTGTAATTTGTACCATCTAGCTTTAAAAAATGCATAATAAAATTGTATAAGGATAATAAAGATTTCTCAATAATAATCACTAATAGCAAATACTAATAAGAAATAATCTTTATTAATTATTTAATTATAATTTTATATATGAAAGTTCATCTATATAAAACTGTTTTTTAAACATTTTTAAGATGATAATAAGTGTCAATAAATAAATCACTAAATTTTCGAACTCTAATATCATGTAACTTAAATTCCTTCACCTCATCTTTCAAATAAAACAAATCATTATTTTCAGTCAAAATAGCTAAATATTTAATTCTTTGCCTTTTCATAATATATTTTTTTATGTAAGGTAAAATATCCTGTTTTTGTAATTGACTGATCACCAATTTCTTAATAAAACTATCTTGAATATTTTTTAGAAATACTTCAAAATCACTTGTTTTAATGTGATAAATATTCAAACATAAATATTCTAATTTAGAAGGAAGGATTTGTCCTAAATTTTGTAACATGATTGAACTACATTCAATATTATCAATATCAATATTGATTGAAAGATAATTAAGATTTTGTTTTATATTTTCAACTAAATCTAATATTGGATAAATGGTCTGGTTTTCAATATTCTCTAAATCAAGAAGTTTGATATTTTTACAATATTTAATAACATCAAGTAAATGTCGTTTAGATAAAAAATGACCAAAATTCTCTAAATAATCACCAGATTTTTGTAATAATAGTTCTAATGATTCACCATCTTGTTGTCCCCAATTTGAAAATAAAGATTTTAATTTAAATGGTCTAGTTAAATGTTGAGTAAAAATAGGATTTAAAGAAGAACAATAAGCAAGATGAATAGATTCTAAAACATTTAATTGATCGAAGATTTTATCTAAATTGGTTATATATTTAAAATCAATGTAATAAAATATGATTGTATTTAAAGTATTCGAGCAATTAGAATTACTTGATAACAATAATGATTGATACAAAGAGAAACTACTATTATATAATAAAATTTTTTTAAGATTTTGTTGTAAATTAACTATTTGTATTACACGATCTTTAATTACCATGTCTTTAATATTATGATTAACATCAGGAGTTAAAACAAGGCGTGGATCTGCAAAATTTTACGTCTTTAAAAAATTACGCAAATTCACACCACCTACGGGGGTATACGGGTGTACAAAAATAGTGAATAACCTTAATAATAAGAATTTTCGCATTTTTTTTAAAATAAAAATTTTACGTATCTTTTTATCAATGAGAATTTATATATGTTTTCAATAATAAAGATTCACGTATTTTTTCAATAATAAAAATTTTCGCGCTTCTTTTAAAATAAAAATTTTCATATTTTTTCAATAATAAAAACTTTCGCATTTTTTAATAATGAAATTTTTTACATTTATTTAATAATAAAATTTTACATCTTTTCGTTGCATTTCTTTACTAATAAAATTTATATTCTATTACAAACAATTATGAATTGAACAGTAAAATAACTACTCAAATAATCTCGCGTCATCATCATCTTCAGAAATTTCTTCAACATTATCATTATAATTAGTCATTTCTCTTGATCCTTCCTGAATTTCCGAAATATCACTTTCTTTTGGAAATGTATTTTCATTTAATAATACCTACCAAAGTAACAAATTAATGATAATTCCGATCATCATTTCTATAGATTTAAATTATAAACATACCAAGAAAATAGATGATCGTTGCTTAATGGCGTCTTCTGTGCATCTTATTTCGTCACTATGTGGATTTAAAACAATACAACAGACGGCAAGAGCAAATGAAATTATTGAAGGTGTTAAACAATTTTCCTTGGATTCTTTTGGCATTGCCTTCATAATAATTCCATTAATTACGAAAAGTCCAGTATTGTCTACTTTCCACAAATTCGCGTATGCTTCTGTAACACAAGGACTTTTTTTCCAATCAGTAATTTTTGCACCCGAATTTGTTTTAATTTNTTAATATTCATAAAAATTATTATATTAAAGACTTTAAAAATAACACTTACGATAGGCATAAATTCAGAGTAAAATCGAGAATCCCAACGATGTCTCCCAATATCATTAATATATCCCTTAGACCCTTTTTCAATATATACCTCAAGATATTCCTTGAATAATTCTGGAATGGGGTATAAGGATTTCTTTTGTATTTATTTAGTAATCGTTACAATACCTTTCTGTTAAAAAAAGTTCAAATGTTGTCAAAAATATTTACAAATCTAGGATCAAAAACAACATTTACTTTAAAAAAAGCGGGTGATAAAGATTCTTCACGATGTATTTTTAAAAGTATTTGTTTTATATCTTCAAGTCTCTTTTCTTGTTTCAATTGGTTTTTCCATAAAACTTTATTTTGATTGTTTAATTTTTCAAGAAACTTTATGGGAATTATATAGTATTCTTCCTTTTCACTTTCTATTTAAGTGGAAAATGTAAATCTTAAAAATATACATTCAAATTTTGGAAGTACGCACCAGTAGTTTTTTTAGCTTTTGGCATTAAATTATCAGTATCATTTTTTCTATATTTTCTTGGAGTTTCTGATTCATTCTCCTCGGATACATCACTACTATCTTCTTCCTCCTCATTGGTAACCTTTTCTTTATCAGGAACATCATTAAGGGGTTGTTAAAGAAATGAAATTAATATGCAAAAATAATTAGCATTTTATAGTACACAAATTAATTATATATCTACATATATAAAATTGATTTTACCATGAATTTGTTGATCGTGAATTTCATGGTTTTGAAGACTTTCTTGATGATCATCTTGACTATTTCTTTCAGGATTATCCTGACGAACTTTTCAATAATTGTGAGAAAGTTTATTACTTAGTTCCACTAGCCACAGTTTAATAATTCTTTGTTTATTTTGCAGTAAAGAAATTATCATTAATAAAAAATTTTAAATACCATCATTAAATTGCCTTTGACTTCTAAGACTTCTAAGAGGTACACGAGTAGTTTGAGTTATTGAATTGGTTTTTCTTCCCTTTCCTCTTTTTTTACTAGATCTTTCCATATCTGCCATGATTATTTTTAATAGTTGTATTGTAAAAAAAGGTTATTAAATGAAAAAAAGAGAATTAAATAGGGATGGAAAGAAGATTTAAAATAACTTTACTGTATTTATATGATCATGAGTTTATTAATAGCTTACTAATAAGTTTAATTGAAGTACTAATAAGTTTAATTGAAGCATATTTATACATCATTTTGACCTCATTTTGCATCTCTGTGTAACCCTTATTTTAATTTGTATACTGTATAATAATTTTATGAATATGATTGCTAAAGTTCACCGGTAGTGATAGTTACCGTACCAGCATTATAATGTACTTTCAACCAGAATTAAAAAATCTAATAAAATACTGGCCAGTATTACATCATATTGATGACCAACACCACTGGTGATGTTTAGCAATATCCTAA